GACCCCCACCGAAGAGCCCGGGAAAGGCAGCTGCATGCTGCGGTCACCTAGAGGACCCAGAATATACATATATAATATGTATATATATATGTACGTGTGTGTTATATATAGTTATATATAATTAGACTGTTAGTGGAGCCAGTACTTGAATATAAAGTAGACTACATTTTAAGGAAATAACATAAATATTATTATATAGGTAAATTAATTATATTAGTTTTTATACTTCAAAATCAAAATAACACAATTTAAGAGATTATTTTCAAAATATATTTATTAGGGATAATTAGCAATACCCCCCTCATCTAGGTAAATGAGTTAAGAAAACCCCCCTCCCAAAAATAATTAGAGAAAACCCCCTTACCTAATATTATACCCAAATATTATTTAATAATTCCCAAACCACCCTTTCTCTCTCTCTATCTCTCTCCTCTTTCTCTCACACACACAAACACACACACGCACAAATTACACACACAAATTACACAATTCCATCTCTGAATTAGCACCACCACCACAACCACCCATCATCAAACAGAGAAGAAAAAAAAAAAAGGGGGGGAAAAATTCTTACAGAAGGTTGTTGTTTATGGAGGGTTTACAAAGATCTGCTGTACGGCGGCGGTGGGGGAGGTGCTGCCATAGGGATACGTATGCGGCGGTGCCGTACGCGCCGCCGGTGGTGAAGGTCACGTTGACGGTGCCGAAGGATTCGGCGACGGCGTTGGCCCAACCCATGAAGACGTCGGAGATTATGCAGAGGGGAGGGCGGCCGTTTTGATCGGCGGTGATGTTCTGAATTAGGGCACGGAACGGTGGTTCGAGGGAGGTTGAGGAGTGGAAGAGGTTAACGACTAGGTTTAAGGGGAGGGATTCTGTGTTCTCGGCGTTTGGCGGGAGGCCGTGGTCGGAGGTGTTGAGCGGGAGCTCGAATAAGTGGATGCCGGAGCTTGGTGTAGGGTTTTTGGCTACGACGGCGGCGAGGTGGTGGACGTTGAGTGGAGTGGTGGCGATGGTGATTGTGAAGCCGAATCGGCGGTGGATTTGGTTGGCTAGTGCTAGGAATGGGATTAGGTGGCCTTGCGCCATGAACGGCAGCATCACTATGTGCTGGTGGTGCTGCTCTTCTCTGTCCGCCATTTTTGCTCTATGTTTTTTCTTTGTTCTCTATGTTCAGTAGTCGATTGAGGCTTAATCGACTATGTTCAGTAGTCGATTAAGGTTAACCGACTCTAGTTGTTAATTTTTTTTTTTTGATTTTTTGTTTTATTGATTCCAATGTATAAATCAATTACAATGTTTGTATTTTTTTTTAAATATAATTGATTTTGTATTTTTTTGTAATTGTGATTTGTTATTTTTAGTAGTTAAATTTTTAATCGACTATCCATTGATGAAACTGATAGAGAAAAAAATTAAAAAAATTAAAAAAAACTTCCTTAAAAAAAGTTGAAAGAATAAAAACAAAATTAGAAACAAAAAAAAAGTTAAAAAATAAATAATTTCCTTAATCGACTATGAAGCATAGTCGATTAAGGCTTAATCGACTATGCTTCATAGTCGATTAAAAAAACGGAAAAAAAAAAAAAAAAAAAAATCGCTGGAGCGCTCCCAGCTGTGATGAGGTGGCGGGCGGGGGTAAGGCTGGGAAACACAATAGCTGAAATTGGACCATGGGCTTTTCTCAAATGGTCTAAATATTTTGGGCCTATCCCTATTAAAAAAAGTAATGGGGGGTTATGTCAAAGAGCCCCTTTTTATTAACGGATCGGAGCTCTTTAAAATTAGGGATAATTAGCAAGAAACCCCATCTAGGAAAATAAGTTAAGGAAACACCCTCTCCTAAAAATAATTAGATAAAATCTCCTTACCTAATATTCCACTCAAATATTATTTCATAATTTCAAATCTACCCTTAATTGTTTAATATACTCTTTCAAAACCCTAATTATGTTTTACGCCGTTTTTTTTTCTTTCTTTTTCTCTTTTCATCTCTTCCCACTCTCATCTCTTTCTCTCTCTTTTTTTCCTTCTCTACATGATCTGATCTGAGTGTTTGGTGGCGGTCCGACTATGGGGCGATGGCAGAAGGCGGCGTCGAGGCGGCGCGGGCGGAGGTTTGGCGATTGGAGCTTCGAGGGGAGTCTCCACACCGGAGGAGATGCGCACGCTCGTCTATTTCTAAGATTTACTCTTTATTTATGGTTTTGATTTTCTGGAGTAGTGTTTGTTGCCGTTGTTTCTGGTTTGAGATTTGAAAATTGGAGATTATCGGGAATCTAATTGCAGATAGTAATCTCAGAGTAGTACGGGGGCTGCAAAATACGCAGTCAAGGTAGTATAGTTTCATTCTACTTAATTTGTTATGGATTTATAATCTAATTTTGCTG